AACTTCCAGAACACGGCCACACAGCCCGGAAGACCCACACCAGTCATCGTATGCCGGCCGTGAAAGCCTTCGACAATACGCTGATTTAGAGACTTTAGTGTGTTGTTCAACTATATCTCCCAAATTTGGAACTTGTCTGCTTCCAAAGCATTTTGGACACCTCATGCCTAGAAAATTGCCAAAAAAGGTGCTTATACAAACCTGGAAGGACACACACGTCCTCGAGTCTAAAGTCTAACTGAACAAAAGCAGTCAGGTTTCAGCTTTTAACTCTTTATTGACGGAAAGGAATGATCTGACAACACAGTATATGGTCAGAGTTTAATTTGTTGCTTATATATTGAACTTGTAGGAATTTATATAAATATAATTTACTATTTTTGTGCTTTAGACAAGGAAAACATGTTTTTCCTTCTTTCTTTCCCTCTATTTTTATTTTACCCAGTTTACATATTTGTGCTTTCTAGCTAGTTTGTTCTCTGTCAGTGTTTATATGTACAGTAGTTTGAATTGTTAGAATTATGTTCACAACTTTAGTATTTTCCCCTGTGTTTATATGAAATGTTTAATAAAATTAATAAAATTGTTTGAAAAAAACGCACGCAAACATAACTGAGCATCCTACTGCCAGTTCTTACTTTAGCAATATGTATACTGTAAAAGAAGCATCAGCTAATTCTGGCAAGAGTGATTTTCTTCACACTTTCTAAAATGCCTTCTTTCCTGAATAATCTACTACTCACACCATATGTCTGCTACCTGACTGGCTGTCTTCACACAACTTGCTTATCCAGGTCGGTGGATAAGGCCACATTTAACTGAGTTAGTGTTAGTACAAACTACAGTAGCTGTGGATGATTATAACAAAATATAGTTACTATTTATTGAAATATTTATGTAGAATTTTCACTGAACAAATATCTGTGAACAGAACTCCTGGTTTTGTTGCTGGTTTCTAGTTTTCTTTTCTTTTTTGGATATTGCTTATTTTTTCATTTCTTTTTTATTGTGTTCAGTTTATGATTCAGTTTATGATTCAAGGTATTGTGCAAATCCAGAAAATGGATTAATTCAGAAACCAGGCTAAGCACGTTGCATGAATATAGAATAGTTAAGCTATTCTGGAATCCTCTTCTTCTAAAGTCAAGTTGTGATTGATGGTGTGCCATCAAGTTGGTGTCAACTTTTAATGTCCACATAGATAGATTTTCTCCAGGATGATCTGTCTTCAGCCTGGTCCTTCAGGTCTTCCAATGGTGCACCCATCACCCCTGGAGTGTTCTGATTCTATGTGCACGAGGTGTATTATCATATCATCCGGAATGAGGTTCCCCCTGAGATCTGGATGGAGACCCCCTGCTGGTATTTCAGAGAGCCTTGAAGACCTGGATCTTCACCTAGGCCCTTGGCAAGAGCGATGGAAGCCCTTTTCTGGGTAATGTGGGTTTGCTTTGGTTATTGACCAGTTTGTGCCATCTTTAATTTTTGTTCTTTATTTTTATCATTGCAATATTTTATTGTTCTGTGTTTTTATTTGCAAACTGTCTGGAGTCACTGGGAGTTGGGTGATGTAATTTTTTTAAAAATTAATTAATTAATTAACCAAAGCGATTGTTTAAACCCTCCGGCTTAGCTGCCATTCTGCTTACTTGTGGGGCTGATATTTCTCACCAGAAGGAAAGCACAATAGCAGAAATGGGTCTGGCTTTGGTCTCTGAAGTCTGGTATCTGTGATGCCTTGCACCCTTCCTGTTACCATGAAGGCTACCCAGGATCAGGAAAGGAAAGGGTAGATGGAGATGACCAAGGAAGCTGGGTCTCATGAGGATTCACACAGCACCAAAGATGTACAAAACATACCAAGATTAACTCCCCAAATTTGGAAAGATGGTTCGACGTGTTTGACTGACTCTCTTCCATTTTCATTTTCAACCATTCTGTGAGGTGGTGGAGATGGTGAGTTTTGAAATATCACATTTTCAGTTTCTACTGTGCTTTGGTTCTGTTCTGGTCCCTGACCGTAATAAGGTTCATTGTTGTTGAAAGATGGTTAGGCCCATCCTCCCCTGCTTTACAATTTTATACCCCCTGTTTGGCATTCTTTAAAATTCTCCGTGAATCTGCTAACACAGTGGCAGAGGCACAGCATTTGGAAGAAGCTCTAAATAGGTGTTGTTGGGGAAAAATCTGCAGGAAGGGAACTTCTGTTCCATCCCATTTGGAACTTACAAGTGTCCTCTCCCTTCTTAAGGTGATGTTCATTTTATCTACACAAGCAGGACACTGTAACGGGAAGAAGGAATAAGCTTGAGGAACTGGAGGAACATCCGCTGCTAAGACAAGGGTCAGATAAAAGAAACCTGAGCCCGGAGAAGAAGTATAATCCAAGTAAGCATCTCAGACATGACCCTCCCTAGTTCTCACAAAGATAAAGGCAGGGAGGGGGAGGCACATTCAGACTAGTAAGATTTTGTTAGTGTAACCTTATAATAAAGGTATTAGTGTGCATGATTTTGATTCCTAGTCTGGTGTACCTTGAAGGGCTAACAAGGTACTCTGTGGTAGCCCGCGCTTTCTGGAATATTCTGCTCCCGGAGGTGAGATTGGCCCCCTCACTCCTGGCCTTCCAGAGGGCTTTGAAGACCTGGTTC